CTCTTTCTGAAGAATGATGCGTCTCCCAAGATCGCTTTCTGCTGCCTCTCTCCACCACGATGCCTGAACAGGGGATTTTTCTCTTCTTACATAAAATATGTCAATTGCTTAGTATTTTATAAATGTTTCTGTACTGCATACACTCTCGAAAACAGTCAATAATGCTACACAATTTTCTTTTCTGAAAACCAAAAGCTATTTTGCTTTTCAGAACTACTCAGAATTTAACATAAAGGGAAGCAAATCTTCTCTCCGTACACAGTCATTATGATTACAGTAAAATAAACAGGACGATGAAAAGGAGGCCTGGACTCCTCTGCATAGTGGGGTGGGGGGGCACACCACTTTCCACCCGCTGAATATCCAAAAAGGGGCTTAGATATTCAGATCAGTCTCACAGCCAATTCCAGGGTTTTACTGAAGAAAATCAGCTGGAGGACCTGGAAACACAAATACCCAATCTGACGTTGACAAGCTCGAGCATGTCCAGAAGAGGGCAACCAGGATGGTGAGAGGGTTGGAATCCAAGTCTTACGAAGAAAGGCTGAAAGAGTTGGGTATGTTTAGCCTGGGAAAGAGAAGGCTTAGAGGGGACATGATTGCAGTCTTCAAGGATTTGAAGGACTGCCATGTAGAAGATGGAGCGGACCTATTCTCTCTTGCTCCAGATTGCAAGACTAGATCTAATGGGTGGGAATTACAAGGGAGTCGTTACCGGCTCAATATTAGGAGAAGCTTCCTAACTGTAAGAGTGGTTGAATAGTGGAACAGACTGCCTTGGGAGGTGGTGGGTGCTCCTTCGCTGGACGTTTTCAAGCAGAGGCTGGACAACCATCTTCCGGGTATGTTGTAGGGCTCTCTTTTGGCTCTGCTCCTGCAGAGTGCAGGGGGTTGGTGTCAAGGTCCCATTGAAACAACGTAGTCACTTCTCGTAGAAAAGGGTACTTTATTGAGGCAATGAGTCACTAGAGAGGTTTCTGTTTGGAATAACATGAAAGGACCATAGCAAGTAATATAAACGGATTTCAAAATGTTGCTAAGCCAATGAGTCTACTTCCCACTTGGGAATTCAGAGCGCCAACTTGCTGGGAACCAAACGCTCCAGTTGGTACTAAGTTTTTCTCAGGCTCTGCTAATTAAAACAAAAAGCTGCCGCCATCCTTATCTCACACCTGCTTGGCCTTGAGTGTTGCATGGTTCACTAACAAGCTCTACGTCTGGGCATGCGTCTGGGTTGCTAAGCGAGGGATAATAAACAATACCCAAAGCAGGAGGAAATTACACGGGTTACAAACTACAGGAACAAAGCATGCGCAGAGTGCATAGACCATACATCAGTACAAATACAGAATTTGGCAGCCTGCTGACAGTTGGACTAGATGACCTGCAAGGTCCCTTCCAGCTCTAACATTCTATTATTCTATGTTAAGCTGGGGGAGGAGGGAGAACACAGCACACAGCAAGGACAGGCAGACATTCCCTTGCTCCTCATCAGGTAGAGGACTCAAGGCGTAATAAACGGAACACTTCGGACCTGGCCGCCTTTCTAAGAATTCAAAGTAGACACCAAATGTCCTCATAATTATCAATAGTCACTATATGCAAAACCACATTTCAAGCGACAGAAGTTTACTCCCATGTTACCTTCAGCACTACAGTGATTTTTTTCTTCAGTGCTCTTTGTATTAGTTGCCAAAGAACGGTTTGAATCCAAAGATCTGGCAGCCTGTAGAGGAGTTCGGTTCTCTAGAGGGATGCTGCTTCCTGGTTCTCTGGCCAGTGACCTGAACTCAGGATCCTGCTCTGTCTACAGACTAGAATCCTGTGCTCCTGCTTGGTCTTCAGCCTGCTCACTCCGCTGTCTACCCGGAGACTCCAGGCTGTTGGTGTTTTCTCAGTCCCAGGTGTCAGAGTCCCACAGCAATCAGTCCTCAACAACGATCCTTCAAAAGGTTTATTGAGTATGATGAAGGCAGGTCTTCTGAGCATACACTAATTGTCAGAACGTTCCCAATGAGCTGTGGAGTCTTGTGAGCAAAAATTCCATTTTGTGAGCGACTGGCATCAAAGTTGTGAGCGAGCAACTTGGCTACTGCATAAATTAGGTTACTCTGGAGCACTCCTTCCTGAGCTAAGACAAAAATGTGTGAGCCGGAGGCTAAAAAACTGTGAGCTAGCTCACACTAACTCAGCTTAGAGGGAACACTTAGAGGGAAAGCAAGCGCGTGCAGACTAGTGATACACAGAAATCAAAAGGGTCAGTGGGTGGTTGGGTCCAATCAGGAGTCCCACAAAAGCCCACCTAGGCTCACGGGTAAGCATTCCCAGGGAGAGGGCGTAACAAGGCACCAAGGTCACCAACTCAGACTAACGGGCAATAAGGATGCAGGGAGAAGAGAAACTAAACATTCCACAGAAACAGAGAGGCAATTTATCCAGCTGCAGAGATGACACCAGGTCCTAATGATTTATTGGGGGCCTGGCATTTGGTGTTCTATCCTGATACTCCCTAAGACCTCCCCCCTAAAAGGCTGCTTCAGAAAACCACGAATTCCATATTTAGTTGTACTTTATTACGTTTCCTATGGATGCAACACAGCCAGGCATTTCAAAACCCACTGACTCTAACTCACTGCTTAAAGTTGCTACAGTTAAAACTACGGCACTTAACACACACACACACACACACACACACGTATTTTGCAAATAAAAAGTTGTGGCAGATACACAAATGCTTAACCCTTCAAATGAAATTAAGAGGATTTAACTGTGCTTTATTTTGTCAGGAGAGAAAATAGAAGATCCGTTTAACAGCAGTAAAGACATACGTGGCCACAAGCTGGTAGTTCTCCAGTTCTTTCTGTAAACGTTTGTTTTCCCTTTCCAAATGTTGATTGCAGCTGTATACATCTGGAATAAATCCAACGTCTTTGGGTTCAAGCAAACCTCTCTGCATCAGCTCATACCTAGAATTGTACGAACACAAAGAGGAATCTTTTTTCTTTCTTTCCAGCCATCAGGATTTAAAGAACAAAACGCTTCATTCACAGTACAGCACCAAGCCTCTTTTACCACTCTGGACCACACTACAGAAATCAACGCCCTGCCCAGCAAACAAACCCACTGGCTGGCCTCAGGGTGCCTCCCTGTCTTCATGCACTTAGAACATCATTCTAAAGGCACCTAAAATACTGGACTACATGGATGTGAACCATGAATTGTAAAACATTTTAAATTAAATGCAGATAAATACAACATGTCTCTTGTAGTATGGATGGGAATATATGATGATTTTTTAAAATTCAGATTATTCGTGTACTGATATTTTTCTGGTTTTATGAATTTTTCCATATTAAGGTTTTATGATTTTATGATTTAATAAAAGCCTATCAAGTGGCAAGGAGAGAGTGTCTTTCTAGCTGCTGCTTGCAGACAAGCAACAACATTCTTTTTTTCCTTTAAGTTGTTTGGATGAAATAGCTATCTAGCTGTCTGGTGTTCTTAACAGGCCTTCGGTACAGTATTCCTGGTACAGCAGGTTTTTCAATAGATGTATTTGCCTGGAGTATAGAGTTCATCGTTTTAGTTGTTTGGGGTAAAAGCGGCAGTGTCGGGGTCAACAAAGGCTTTCGTTTCATATCAGAAAACAACACCTTCTGTTTGGGTATGAAGAATCCTTGGGTATTATTATTATAAGGTTAGGTTAAATAAACATTTAAGATATCACGTGGGCACACCTTTTCTTGTAACTGACCAATGAACGAAAGATTATTCAGACGATGCTCTGTCATTTTCTGACCAATTACGATTTCTGGATGTTATCTTTTTGCCTGTGTCACTTCGGGTATAATATTTCATGTGCTCAGAAAGCAGTCGATTTTGGATAGGCTGGTTTGGCCTGTTTTCAGTTGTTCAATTGCAATTAAATAACCAAAGAACTTTCCTCCTCATGGTGGCTTCGTTTTTTTGGCTTGGGAATCTATTCGTACAACACT